CATCTGAATAATGGCGTTCAATGGAGTCAAATGTAGCTCTCCTGTAAATAAACAACATAAAACATACTGTGATACACATAGTTAAATCATTTATAATATTTTTCACACATTTATTTAAGTCTAAAATTTACTGAAGATTTTGTTAGAAGTAAACAGCAATACATGTTATAAAATTGGGGGGGGGGGGATTTAATACACAAGAATTATGTCCATGAAAACAAATTTAAGGATTACATTTACATTTTGGACTTGGCAAAATTGTATGGAATGGGTATACAATGAATAAAATCAGTTATATTTTACAATTTAAACTGTCAAGTTACCATCTTTGAAAATCCCTGCAGCATATCTGCCAGATTTTTCTCCTGTAGAAACTGAGGTCAGCACCTGCTTATCCATTTTGTCACTGAAACGAGCATTGCAATGCATTAGGTAAATACATGTGATCCACCCCTAAAAATAAACGTGATCTACTTCAATCTTGTCATAATTAACATTATTGTAGTATTTCTTTAATTTAAAAATTACCCAAATCACCCTTCAATTTAAAAAAAATCAAAATTTTCTGTTTTTTGACAATTTCAACAACGTTTAATAGACACTTTTTATGATCCAAAACAATTATCTATTTTTCAAATAAAAACTGGATATATTTCCATTCCTACCTAGAATACATTGAATCTGATGAAGAACCAAAGGCACCATCAACATTCAATGCAATCTGTTCTCCCTTGCTCCTGGCATAATGAGGACTCCTAGTGTTGATCGTTGCTTCAATCTCTACCTAAATTACATAGAAAAATAAAAATCATTAAATTACTTTAAACTCAACTCACATCATTAAACTCAACTCACATCATTGTAGAAGAAATAACAGAAATAGTTACTTTACTTCTCACTCACTTTCTTCTGAACTGGTTTAACTCTTGCAGCGAGAATGTCTACATCATCATAAGTCATTCTACCAGGACGAACAGGGTACTAGAAAAAACATAGGTAATCAGACATTAAAGAGCTCACCTATATTGTCCTTAAGTAAGTCAAAGTCTTACATTAAACTAATAATCTAGGAGTGTACATCCCAGAATCACTCATCTGTAAAACAGTGATGAATTCACAGATTGACCATTGCTTGGGAAAGGTTTTGAAACAAATTTTTTCTATAGAAAGATATCGGGGCGCTTTCACAAAAATTAGGTGATGCTTTGACCATTATTTGGGGGCGGTATTTTTCACTATAAAAATATGTTGGGGGGCGCTTTGACTAAAATCAGGGGACGCTTTGACTAGGACGGTTTTATTAGCGGACACTTTGAATGGATTTCCATATCATATAATCTATATTTTAAAGCTTACTTTAAAGATATGTATCAAATTTCATTTGTCCTACCTGCAGTAAGTACAATTTATCTGCAAGACTCTTGGAAATGAATACATCAATCTGAAAATAAAACATATGCCACACATTTTACTAATTCTTAACTATATCACATGAAAACAACAAATGAAAACATAAATCTGAAAATAACGCATAAAAGGTTTATCTGTGCACTTTATTATTGAATCTCAAGTAGAAATGATGAATCAATCATGAATTATTTAGTATGAGAGATAAAGAAAGATGTTAGACATTTTGGATGTAATGCAAAGGCCTAGAGAAAAAAAGAACAAGATAGGGAATATGATCGTTCTTCCTGATTGCAAGCTTTCAACAAATCTGAAACACTTTCCCTAAATGCTTTATTTCAAAAAAGTATTACAAGTACATTGTAATAATTGTGTTTCAAATTTACTGTTTTAAAACATTGATGTTTGCGTTTTTTTTTGTCTTGTTTTTGGATGGACTCATGAATTTGTTTGCAGACTAGTAAAAGTTAAAAAGCACTAGTCTGGCCAGACCAAAGCCTAAAAATATTAGTGTCGAACCCTGCTAAGTTACAAAGTATCAGAACATTGGTAAAAATTAATAAACAATATACATATACTTTTAAAATAAAATTATTGGTACAAAACTCATGCCATTATGAGATACAACTTAATTAATGCCCTTAAAGGGGGAGGAAATAAGCACCTCCTTCAAATTTACCTGGTCTTAGAACCCCTGTCAATCATCTGAAATTAAGTCTGGGATTGGATACTTTGATTTGATTGACATTTAGTTTGCTGCTGTTGTGTATATCTTGTGTACTTTGTCTGGAGATCGTACCTACCATCGAATTAACTTTCAGGCTTTTGATGCCTACCGCACTGTATGCCAACGTGATAAAGAAGCAATCAAATCGTTCTTTTCTTTCTTTAATTCATAAGAATATATCATAAATATAATCAATCTATCAAATAATTAAATAAATGACAAGAAAATCATGGCTATGTAATATATATTATAAATTTAATTTTAAAAGGGAGGATTTCATATCACGATTACATTCGAAAATTCAAATTTCCGTGTCAAAACATGAATTAATCATTTATTCCTTCATTTATTAACAAAATAAACCGACCTACGTTTGAAGCTAGTATCATGGAATTAAATAAAATTATTTTTTAAAACAAGTATGACAACATTGTAACATTGTTCAACCGAATTTATATTTATAAGACAAACCTGTACGTGTCGCTTTTCTTCGAGACATGGTGATGTAGTTACGGTATAATAATAAGTTTTAGATGAGAAATTACTCGGAATATAACATCTTGCTTTGTATTTATTGTTTGAAAATAAATTCAAATTAACAATGAATCCCGAAAGAAAAAAAACAATGCAGATGATTCTTTTCCCGTTTCATAGTTGTCGGGGAATCAACTTCGGTCCGAAGCCCTGGCCATTTTCACCGACCATGTGTTATGAAAAAATCAAGTAGGGTTTATCTTAAAAAGATATTTATCTAGACAATAATATTTCTACTTCAACATTTTATTCTCAAAACATCGTTTCTAAGTTTTACTGTTATTTACCGAGAGACTGTTTTATTATTCACTTTCTTCTTTCGTTTTGCGTAGACGACGTGTAATTTGAATTACTTCCCTTTTTGTCGCCAGATTACAACGACAGATTTTGATGCTCAATGTATTTTCGTTATAACACTTCATTAAGAAACACACTGTATATAAAAAAAAATGTCGAATCATTAAAAAAATCAATTATTTTAAAAGAAAGAAATTGAAAAGGATTCTGTCTGCAACAAAAAATGCTTTATTTCGCATTTCAATTCATGAGCTAAACATGAAAAAAAAAAAAACGGCCTCGGTTTACAAAGTCGTAGGAAACGCATACAGGTAATACACTCAGGGGCTCAGGTAACATTTTGTGTATATAGGTAGTATACACAAGCCAGCGTCGTTCCCTCGGGGCTTCTCAGCCGCTTCGATTAAGCTCCACCCCACACCAAACTTACCTGAGGAAAACCGTACGGTTGAAAACCTCGGCCTTTAAAAGGAGTTGTTATTTCAACTAAATGTAATACGCAGGTAGGTTACAACCAAATATTCTACTTGCCTATATGATATGACATCATAGTAAGCTATATGACGTGAAGTTTAGAGATAACAATTTCTTATAGTCGATATCTAAGACTGATTTGAGGTCGTAAAAATTAATCAAAATATGCAGAGGCATAATTACAAACAGAATTTTGTCGTTTCTGGGTCTCTGTAGTTATCACAGGGGTTAAATACCAAACCCGTGACGTCATAACTGTTGATCATGCAGTAGCAGAGTGAAAGTGAAATGTAACGAGAATTCATGTAAACAAACACAAGAAAGTGAAATGTAACGAGAATTCATGTAAACAAACACAAGGAATCGGAGTTTAAAAGCATTCAGAATAAATATCATGTGTGATTCATGTGGGAATAAAGCTTATGAATAAGGTATGGTAATATACTTCAACAATTTCTTTGTAAAATTAAAGCAGGGAGGGTGTTTACTTGCCGATCAGCCTTTCCTCTGTCGTTCTTAACAAATAAGATGCAAAAGTTCAACACTACGCCGCACACTTTGAAACTTAATTTTTGTTTCTATCTAAAGATCTTATTCTATTGTTTTTGGAAAGTGCTGCTAGAATCGTATGGTTTACCGGAATTAATGCATTTTTTTCGATGTTATGAACAAAATGTAAAAATTTTGGGAAGGTTTCGTCAGAAAGTGTTGAATAATTATTTCTGTGATAGGACAGTAGGATTCTAGCAGCACTTTTCATGGTACACAGATGTTTTTCCATAATTATTATTACAAATTGAAATTAATTATCCCCGGGGTAGTGTTGAACATTTCACTTTTTCATTAAGGCATATTTTCTAATTATAGACGTCACGTGGTGACGTCGTGGTGAAGTGCTTCATGTAGTATAAGTCCCATTGAAGTCTATACAATGCATAATTATAACAAAAGTTTTATGCTTGACTTTTCCGATTTATTAGTGTTACATAATTATAAAAAAAGTCTTAATTCGCCGAATTTTGGTCCATGTGCTGCCTTAACATACCCGCGTACTTTTGTTTTGATTTTTAACACAGCGAATTGCAGACAGGGTGATGGCATGTGGTGCAATAACTAATTTCACCTAAAACTGTAAGTTCACAAATCTTTCATTGATTAGCTCAAAAGAGATGCATTTTCCAGTACTGTTGACTAAAGGTAAACCCTGTTATACATGGAAACTGAGAAATAAAAACTTAACAAGCTAAAATAAATACCTCATGCAAAACCGGGTCGTCTTCCTCCGCCATGTTGAACGGCATGCATCCCTCAGATAAGTCGACCTAACCATTGTCGATAAAGTATTATTCAATGTCAGTAATTTAACTTAAGTGAGTTAAGATATCATCTATTTGATCTTATTTTGAAGATATGGATTAATTCTTAATAGAAACATCAAATCATATGGTAAAGTTATGTCTTCGAGAAAAATAATATACATAACACGTGAAACAATCTAGAAAGAGTTGACTGATTTTCACTTTCATTTTTCGGAAGTCCTCTTAGTTTTTCAATAACGTAATGTAAACATTATTCTTGGAATAAGGAAGCAAAACAACATATGATTTTCACGTGATCATGGACGATTCAGAGACAACTCCGTTGATTAACAGTAGACCTCATTCAGTATGTATTTCAACACGTTAACACTGTTTATATACTGTTAATAAATGCTGAAAATGGTGAAGAGTCCATTCAAGTTACATTTCATAAGTACTATATATCAGTATATCAGAATCATCAGTGTTCAGAAGGTGTTGTGATTTGGACGAATTATATCAGGGACCTTGATTATCATGTATTATGATTTCCTTGATAATATAAAATATAAGCACGATAATGACTATCGCTTCATAAGTTTATGACTACATGTCAGCAACATTACCCCTATTGTACTTAACCAGCCCTAATTATGAAGTATCCAGTTCAGTAAACCATTGTAGCAGTACAATACTAGCATTGTTTATGCTGAAATGCTGAAAATATATCAAATATTAAGTTGATCCTGAGGTTTTAAATGATGACATATATGAAATCTGAAAGAAGGTTGAAATTAGAAGACATATATTTATTATTTTATTCTTCCAGGTAATTAATCAATCAAGTGAAGAAGATGAAGATGATTCTGAAAATAAACATAATTATGCAACAGAGAAGGTCCTCTCTGGGGAATATGAGGTCTGTATAAGATACCGTGTAAAGCTACTTGTATCTTTCTTTGCCATTGACATAAACTTAACTTAATTTATAACTAATACTCTAATTAGCTGACAGTTCCATTGTATTAACTATGTTTCAATATATAATAATGAAAGTAGATTTAAAATATATTTTCTGTTTTTGTCATTTACATTTTTTCTACAATCCTCTTTTGTCTTTAATGATAGACTGTGTTATATTACAGAGTTTGGATTATGATAATTGTGAAAATGAGTTATATGAAATGGAGGAGAAAAAGAAGTCTGTCAGGGTAAGTACAGCTGTACCGTGCATTGTACTGTTCTGTGAAAACAGGAGTGCTTTAATGACATGAAATGCTTGTAAAGTAACTTAATAAGCCTTTTGTATGACAGAACTTTGTGGTGATTAAGATGTTAAGGTGGTTCGTCATGTTTTTTGTTGGAATTCTGTTTATAGTAATTTAAGTCTTATAAAGTAACTTAAGTCTTTTAAAGTAACTTAGGTCTTATAAAGTAACTTAAGTCTTATAAAGTAACTTAATAAATCATTTGTATGACAGGACATTGTGGTGATTGAGATGTTAAGGTGGTTAGTCATGTTTTTTGTTGGAGTTCTGTTTAGTAACTTAAGTCTTATAAAGTAACTTAGGTCTTGTAAAGTAACCCAGTAAGTCTCTTGTTTGACAGGACATTGTGGTGATTGAGATGTTAAGGTGGCTCGTCATGCTTTTTGTTGGAGTTCTGACTGGACTGGTGGCCAGCCTGATTGACTACTGTGTGATCAAATCTACAGATCTCAAGTTCAGCATCATCAAAAAATGTATCCTTTGTTTAGGGTTTCTTTTCTTGCTATGTTAAAGATTGAATCAAAATTAAAAGATGATACAAAAGAAAGGTTCTATGGTTTTGATTGGTAAAAGTAATGCATATAAAATTTCAACAGTGAATTGACCTAATTTTTCCCTCATGGCCACTCTGCCTTAATTATCAAAAAGCAACTAAAATGTCAAATAAAAAAGTTTAATTAAATATACTTTTACACATGTAAAAATCAATCAGCCACCATGTTTGTATTATTCATACATGTTATAATGATTTGATAAATTTTTGTATGTTTAAAGAGCAAGTACAGTGTACCCTAATATTTTTCTTAACATTGACCTAAAGATATAGACAAATGTGTGGACGACCAATGTATGGAGATCCCCCTGTTTGTCTGGGCAGGGATCAATGGGGGTCTGGTGTTTGTTGCAGCATATTCTGACAGCCTGCTTTGAGGTAAAGATGAACTGTAAATCAATGAATATATTAATGAATATACTTTATTCTATATACATGTATGTTCAAAATACTCATGTAATTAACCAACTGTTATTCAAGTCATATTTAATTTGCGATTCATCCTTTTGAAATCAGTCAGTGACCATTAATTTTCATGAATGAGGAAATATTATGCATGAATGTAATTCAAAATACCTGGTAAATGGTTTGTGATTATTAATATTTACGATTTAAAGTAGGTTGCAAAATTCGTGGATTTTACTAAGTAACACACAAATAAAAGTCGGTTTACAGTATACATCCATACTAATATGTAATTTGGTGGTTTGTAATAGATTAAAATGAACATTAATTTCTTGATATATGTAATTCTAAAATGCTTTTACGGGGTAAAAATTTCAACTTTTAATCAGACCTTTCTGAGAACTTCAAAGAACCTTGAAACACATTGAGAGGTATATAATGAAAATTGTTGCATGAAAAGTTTTAATTATAATTTTTAATTTTTAATTAATTTTAAAGATTCATTTCGAGACTTTTTAAATTAAATTAAAAGAGTTGTCCTTCCTGGCTGAGGATCGGAGTCCCATCAGTTTATTGATGGCTACTACTATTTCTAACACTTTTTTTCATCCATGGCACAATTTAGTTAAAAATAAATATACACAGCTTAGAATACAAAGATTTATGTATCACACACTTTAAAAAAATCTGAAGTACTAAGCAATATAAAAAAACAATTAATTTATAATAACAGCATTAAAATCTCCATGGAATGTGTGAAAATAAACCTTTAAAATTTCACAGCACTTAAAACTTTCAAATACTAGTGGATTGGGGGTAGTGGCCAACTTTTTCAAGACCAAGTTACTTTCACTTCCAATTTTTCCTACAATTCCTTCATATCACTATACTTTCGTAAAAAGTGTGTGTGTGTGTGTGGGGGGGGGGGGGGGCAACCATCCTTTCAATGAACATTTTCTATAGTTAAGGTAATGTTGGGGAAAAAAAGTGGGGGGGCAGCCCCTCTGGTCCCCCTGTTGATACGCCTAGCAATATAAAAAGAGTAGCACTTTTTAACTCACACTTAATTCAAATGAAGTATTCCTTAAATATAGATATTTTTAAAGCTCATTCTACTAGAGGAGCTAGTACGAGGGTCATTCAAAAAGTTCGTAGACTTTTGTCATAACTTTTGTATTTAACGTCATATTTAAACCAAATTTGGTACATATATTTTAACAACAGATTCAAATATTTTGAGCAAAAAAATTGGGATATATCTTAATTTTTATCAAAATTATCAAAGATTTAAGACAGAAAAAATGGGGTCACGGAGCAGGGTCAAAACTGAGTTATTTAATAATTATACACTTTTCATATCTGTAGCAAACCTCTTTAAAATTGTCCTTAAACCAAAATAAAATTTAAATGCTTAAATTTAGTATTGTTTTTTTTACTTCAGAAGCTAAAAGTTAATGTAATACTTCACTTTGCTTAAAAGATATCAATTTCTATAGACAGAAAGGTCTTGATTAAAAAGCGAAAAATCATGACGTCAAAGGACGTCACGGAGCAGCGAATAGCAATAAAATTTTCGTTTTGCATTTGGGAACTTTGAAAACGAACTCCAAAAATGCTGGAGAAACAAGGAAAAATATATTAAATGAGCCGTGTATTTGTTTAAAATAGAACATATAATTTTGGAGGGGTAAAGACTTTAAATTGGACGATGGACGGTCTGCAAAGAAACA